TCCATATTACAATCTTGGGAATGAATCTCCTCTTAGTTTCTATCGATTCATTTATTTTAGAAATAAAAAACGATTCGCATGTCTCTGTCCTCTGATATAAACATGGCTGTCAGCCAATTACAGCGCGCTCTATATCATAGGCCGCCCAACTACTGCATTAGAGACAGAAAAGAGCGAATGCGCACGCTTTTATTATGTATATGTATCGGCGCGCGCTCTTAGCAAAAATGCGGGTTACCTGTGGTATATTACGTCACTATCGCGCGCCTCGCGGATACAAACTAGTCTGTGACAAGGTATGAAACACTGGTCACGTGACAAATATAATTTTGCTCCTATTTCGCTGAAAAACTGAAAAAACGACAATTTTCTTTCAAATAACAATACATCGCCAGATTTCCTAACTATCTCATGATTTTTAGTCTGAAAGTTTTATTACATGAGGAGAAAATGAACGTTAAGCATTTTACTCGTCGTGGACCGATGTGTGCCCCAGGTTGCTGGGCAGCCATCGGAAAGTGTTCGGACTTTTTAACTCGTGAGCTTGTCGAGAACTATCGTGAACCATCGACATTTTCACGGAGTATTTTCGTAATCGCCGAGTTCACCACATTTCTTCATGATCCGACCACAAGGATCACAAGGACAAGAAAATGGAAGATAATTTGGCCGAAAACAGCTCGAAATTCACAAAAGATAGCCTTAAACTTTTTAATTCTGGTTCATGGATGCTTCTGTGCTGAATGAAGAAGACAAACCACCTTTTCAATGACATTTTTTAGCCGCCAAACTCAGCCGTAAGTTGTATAAAAGCGAAAAAAACTGAGAGAAAAAAAAAATATGAGTGTTTAAACTATTTCCTAGAACGTCTAGCCAATTTATGGCACTTTCAACTTTTCAAGTCATTTCAGTTGTTCAATATTCATAGGAATTTAGCTCTGAACACGAAAAATAGTACTTTTTGATGTATTTTTAGTTTTTCAGAAGGCATCCAAAATAACGCGGGAGTGTATTTTACCAGTGGATTCCTGCAAAAAAAAAAAACAACAAACAAACAAACAAACACAAAAAACACAAAAAGAGCTTTTTACCAATTTGTTTGTCTTTATATTTCCTTTGTTATTTGTTTACATAATAACTGTATAGTTAAGTACATGATATGTTTGAACTTTTTTTGTCAATGAAATTTCCACGCTGTACACTTTTGTAATCAATAAAATGTGAATACAAGCCTCCATTTATTTCCTTGACTTGTTTATTTAAAAACATTTTTTTCATTTAGTAGTTTCCCCCCTTTTTTCAGTTTGAAGTTTAAAACTAAGTAAACCAAAAACAGCTAGGAAGCTAATCGGGATACTTCGCCTTACGTTCGGAGACTATTCGTCTATTTCTCGCCCGCTCGATTTCCGATGTCTGCCCAGCAACCTGGGGCACACATCGATCCATCACGTGACCAGTGTTTCATACCTTGTCACAGACTAGTTTGTATCCCGCGAGGCGCGCGATCGTGACGTAATACCACAGGTAACCCACAGCGCACGCCGATTCGATAACATAATATAAAAGCGTGCGCATTCATTCTTTTCTTTCTCTCAAGCAATAGTTGGGTAGCCTATGGGGCTGCCTGCGTCTATATATGAAAAATTGTATAACAAAAATTTATAAGTTTTAAGCTTAATTGCTTCTAGATGTATAATATGTACCCTAATGTCAATGAAGCAGATTAAAAATATGTACAAAATATACTGTACAAAAAAAAGTGATTGGTACATGTAAATATGCATTTTTGAACCTTGTMATCAGTGGAATTAACAAAAAAATGTGCGATATTCCTGATCACTTCCATTTTCCTTACTCTAGCTTGCTACACACGTGAGCATGTACATGTTAGAACCACACACGTAAACGACTCTTTAATATTTCTGTTACATATAACAATTACCTGAAGTATGTATATGTCTTTCTTGATTCACAGCCCCAGGAACAGATTTAAGAAAAGCTCCTGAAGAATGGGGAAAAAAAACAACATTTTTATAAGGATATGGCAAATGCTGATGAAACCGGCCCAAAGTCCGTAACGTCAACCACCAAAAATACCTTTTTTCCATTTCCTTCCAATAAAATTTGGCGATATACGAGAGGAGCTGCTCAGAGTGCTTAAATATTTTGTTTTTTGAGTACTAGCTCCGATCGCAGAAGCAGAATTACTTATAATACTTCGCAAAATCTTCCCTGCATTCCCACACCGAGCCGCCATTGCTGAGCGACACACGCATGCGCTTAACTGTTATGACGCAATACCAGATAGCACAGGAATCCCTAAAGAGRAAATACAGGAGTAATTGGAGGGTGTTTACCATTTACACAAAATTTCCGGAAATTTTCGGTTCAGTTACCACAATTGTAAATGGAACACACTTTTTCCGATTTATTTGCATAAATTTTTTCTTGAATTCCATTTTGAAGCTTATTGGAACGCATCCCATTCCAAATTTTCAACGCGAATTTCCGGTAAAGCGTTTGGTGCTGGTCAAAGAGTAGTCCCTTTCCCACCGTTCATGATTTTAAGAAAGTTGGTCGAGAGAGTAGCTGTAAAGGCACGACCGTTAAGTCAAAAAAACCCGAGAGCAATCCTAAGAGAATGACAATAAAGAGAGATTCTTCAAGCTCAATAATAGATTCAATCTATTTGCAAAAACTTAAAAAAGAACAAAGAACTTTAAAAAAAAACTTTTTAAAAAAGTGTATGGAAATATTTTTTAATCGCCAAATAACTAGTAATAACAGAACTGAGCAACAGCACGTCTACGCATTCTTCGAGAATTAATCAAAGTTTGAAATTGTTTTTACTGAAATGGGGTAAAATGTTGTAAAAAAAGAAAGTGAAGATATTTTGAGCTTTGGAAAAAAAAAGTAAAACGGTCCGATACCGATCTCATAACCTCGTTGTTGACCAGAAATCAGAGACAAATTAGGACTTGTTTTTCTAAAGGTATTGGTGCTTTTCCAAACCTATTAAGGCTGATTTACACGGTACGATGTGTCGCGCGCGACTTGTAGTATACGATTTTCCTACTACAAGTCGTAGGTTGCGTACGACTGTTGTAGACAAGTCGTAGGGGGCATTTACACTACTGCGCGATTCAAGTCGTATACTACAAATCGCACGAGACAATCGTGCCGTGTAAATCAGCCTTTAGATGTTGGTATTTTGCCTGTTTGGGCGATGTTTTGTGCTAGCAACTCGAAAGTTGTTCTTGTCATCCTAAAGTGGTTTTCGAAGATGATGCAATATTTTGGATAACAACTTCAAAAAAACCTTCTTTTCGTTTTATTCACGTCTTTTCAGCTGCATGAAAAAGGGCCCTAATCCGATTGCAAACCATTGGAAAGCTAATACGTCATGTTCACTGACCCAAAACTTGTGATCACTGATCCGGAAATTTCCGGAAATTTTCTGTAAATGGTAAACAATAAACAAAAAAGAAACGAAAACGAAAAAAAGAAGAAAAACAATAAGAAAATCCTAATTTTGGACCAGAAATGCTTGACAAAATTGGAGTATAGACCCCTTGCAGTTGCAGGGAATGTAACCCCAACTGAAGGACAAAACCATAGAATCTAAAGAAAACTCTTTTGTTTTGTCGTCCAGATTAAGCTGCTTTGACGTTATAGTCTATGCACGGGGGTCTATATTTTCCGTGCAAAAATAGTAGACAAATCGTTTGTTTCATGAGAAGATTATTTGATGTCATTTTCATCTCTTCATTGGTCTTAGTATAACTCAACCTCGTTCTCAGGGCCTCCAGGTTGAGTATAATACAAAACTTTGGGGATTTAACTTACAATCTGTAAGTTTCAATTTGCTAACGGAAATTATAAATTATATCTTTTCACATAACTTTTTACTGTGTCCCGGCCGAAGTCCTGCGGCACGGTTATAAAATGCAGTTCTTTTTTTTTTCTTTCTTTCTTTAACTTTAAAATTTATACTCTTTCTTTTTTTCTAAAATCATTTTATGCAAAGCAAACCTCATCTTATAAATTCTTTGAGGATAATGTGAATGCAATCTGAATCAGTGCTAAATTTTTGCTGTTATGCTAAAAATATTAAAAAAAAAATGATGTGAAAAGATCATACGCAAAATCTATCAAATCGATCGCGGCGATTGTAAAAGTATATATTAGCGTAGCCTGGGCACGGTATGTTCCACGAAGTGGTTCTTGTTCATTTCTAGTTTCCAACCGTATGCTCAAAGAGGACAAAGACACAAGCTGCCGTTTCAAATTCAGATCATAAGATTTTCTGCCTTTTTCGTTGGCACGCATCGCGTCTTTGCGTTCAGATACATCGTCATCATCCAATGAGAGCGACCGTGGAATCAAAAATATGATCATTAGGGACCAGTAATTATTTATCGGCTGGTAAAATATTGAAGTGATCCCTCCTCATAGGCAAAAATAATTCTAGTGATCCCCCCCTCTATATATATAACTCGTAATTTATATTGTCCCGAATTCACACACGAAGAAGTTAAAGTATTTCAACATGCAGTATCGTCCAGCTGATTTACGATTCAGCCTTTCGTTACAAACAATCTGGTTTCAAGAACTATCTTCTTGAACAGCAACAGATGCGATGGGAGCTTAATCATAAGATTGATAAACTGTCTGTTACAACAAATAACTTGTTGAAGAATGAGAGATATGGAGTTTGTCAAAACATAATGAAGTTTATTGGCGGAGACGAGGGTCTCAATCACGACTCACGGCTAAAAAATTGGCTTTTTCACGATTCACGACTAATTTTTTCGAATCACGGTTTACTAGATCAATTTATCAACACATATTTTGGATCTGGGAGTCTAACGACGCCAAAGCCGGGAGTATTAAGGGAGTCTGGACCTCTCCCAGAAAATTTTGAAATAATAATTCTTGGAAATGCGATTTCTAGCGTTTTTAGAGACATCGAGGRCATATAAAAGGAATCGATTTTATGTGAATTTTTCAGTAATTTTTGTAAAAATTCATTGCCACTAGTACGCACGTGCGTATATGCGTAAAGGACGCTACGTGCCTGTAGACGCGAGTCTTGTCTGAGCACTGTGAAAGTCTGAACACTGTGAATGACACAGCGGCTGATTTAAAATCGCTCATTGACATTCCGCTCATACATTTGTACTTTCGAACATAGCTTTGATAATAAAAATATTTTTTTAAGTGCATTGTATATGTAGAATTAGTATACAAAGGAAGAATTCGAAAATGTCCAAAAAGTATTTAAATTTTAACACAACAATCACTCCTCATATAAAGGCTGGTAGTACGCAGTAGTAATACTTGCAACCAAGAATGGACCAAAGCTGGCCATTGACATTTTGTAAATGCAGTTTCTGTCACAATTTTTATATAATTTACATTTTATTGAACATAAGGTTTAATATTCATAGATTTTTTTACTTTGAATGTAGAAAATACCCAATGAAACATCTAGGAATTCAAACATATGTTTTATTTATACATATTAAAAATTGACGGAAAAAGTTTTGCTTGTGAGTCTTCCGCAGTCAAGAGATTTGGTTCAAAAGACAAAGGAACAATAGGGTTAAGTCATCGACTACGAAAAATATATGCCAAAATATTTGAGAATATTAAACGGAATTAAAGAAAAAGATTAAAAACATAATGCTCCATAATTAATGAATCCATACAGATAGGCTTACTTAAATTTGAACAATGGCTCACTGCTTTTTTTCATGGGTGTTTGAAAATATCTCCAAAACAATAAACCCACATATATAACTATTAGGAGTAAAGTTATCAAAAAGCATTTTTTTCAGCTCATACTATCTGGCTATTATTATGACTCACTTTGAACTAAGAAGGGTGTGGCATTCCTCATAGACCTTCCGTCTACTAACCACTGACAGTTATTATACAGGTCGCCAAATATCTCACCCATTCGACCTTAAAATGACAGCTAATAACGATAAACTTTAATTATTTTTAAAAAACTGCCCATAATTAATCTAATTTTTGAAAATGAGTTCATATATAAACGGCAAGTACTTTTTAAAGACACAAGAAAAGACCGGTCTTTAAATTGCTTATTCTTCATAGAAAGATATTAGAACTTACAAGATGCCGATTCTTAAAAAGTGTCTCTTTATGTTTCTTGTTGTTGCTATTCTTTTTGAAAGTCATCCTTCCCATGCAGGACTTGCTGGTGTAGCCAAGACGGTAGCTGGAAAACGTAAACGGGAGTACAGGTTTGAGGTAAGACATCTTTCACTGATATAGAAAATATATTGTTATTCCGCACTTTTTATATTAAGTAGATTAAGTACAAATGAAAAAAGTTAAGAAACGAAAAGTATCCTGTGGGGAGTTGGACAACTGAGGTTGAAGTTATCAGTTAGTAAGCTTGCCAAAAGGGTGTGTCTAACCCCTAAAAAATAACAAACTATATATAAAATAAGTGACCTACAAAATCGATGTTTGTTTATACCGAAAGGAGATTTTTTCGGGTGGAACCATAAAAGATATTTCCAAACCTTGAATTGATGACTCCTTTTCGCTTTAAAGAGACGACAAGTGTACATCACCATCATTTTCCCTGTATGTACGAATCACGATTGAGTTGCATTAAAACCCAAAACGTCTGTGAAGTGAAGAATGTACAATCATTGATTAGTAAATTCCAAGGCATCCTTTCTTAATTTACAACTTTACTGATCTTATGTTTTCAGAATATATTCGATCGAAGGGGTGGCTTGCTAAAGCGAAGTAATCTTAATGTCGATGAGCTCTGCAAGCTAGCAGAACATCATGGATGCTTGATCGACGAATAATGACGCTGAATTTAACTGATTTCACAATCAATTTGTTTACTAAACATATGAAGAAATAAAGAAGAGCTGTTCAATCTACTGTGATAATAAAGCGTTTAAATATATTAGCACTGAGTGAATTCTGCTCAATACTCCAAATTACACTGACAATTTTCATTCTTCTGACATCAAAACCGACATAAGCGAAATGAAAATATCGAGCATTCTTCCTTGATTAAAAGTGAAATTAGAATAAAGAGTTCAATTACTTGGGCAGGCAATGTTAAAACTATACAAAATTGAATTTGTCACCTTTTCAATAACAAGAGATGTCATTGAATTACGGTGGGCGGTTGCTACACGTGGTTTATTTTGGACCTATGCATATCATGTAGTATGACAGTTACTCTTTCGGTTTGGCAGTTTCTAATAAAGACCGCACAACGAAATGGCGGCCTTACCACCTGCTGTACTTCAGGACCAATGACCTTTTATTTTAACTAAGTTCTGTTGGGTCTAAATAAATTTTTGTACACATTTAAAGCTACCTGTGACAATAAGGCTGTTATCCCTAAAATGTGTTAAGCGCAAAAAAATAATTCATATCGAAATATACCACCACTAAACGAAACGGACATGCCCACATATCTTAATTCTACATATCATGTATTAGTCTATTTAAAGAGGAATAATCTTTTGACAGATGACGTGCTTATTTTGTTAGCAAAATTAAATTTGGAAATAAGCCTTTGACGGTTAGCCTTATTAGGACATAGGGTAACATCACACACATATTTTTTGTTCATACCGAATCATCTGAAAAAACCTAGATACTGACAAAAAACGGGAATATATAGCCTGCAATAGCAATCATTGATACATTGCATGAAACTAAATAAACTCGAAGCTCTTCAGTTTGTTAATAAGATTAATTGGTCCAAATTCCACCATTTTTTTTATTAAAAGATCATACATTCCCACTTTAAACATTGTTTGACGCCATTAACAGAAGCGGTAAGACAAATTGCATGCATAAAATTTTAAAATTGGCATGATTAAAAAACTAGCAAAATTGGAATGATTAAAAAACTAGCAATATAGATTCGAGCCGCAGCCAAGAATCTATGCACTCGATAAAATATGGACTCCCGTTTTTTTCCCATTATCCAAAGAGTGTACACATTATAGAAAAGAGCTGAAAATATGAAAACTATAATGATGGATATTAAACTTAAACTATAGTCATGTGCATTGTGCTATGATTTCTTTGTCATTTTACTCATATCGTGAGATATTTGAGAAAAGCGTTACCATCAGATTAGAGAGAGGCAACGGGCTGCAAGTTGACCAGTGAGACTTTTCCTATATACTTTGAGTAATTCTTCTACATAATCTACGATGTAAAAGTCATATAATAAACGAGTTATTAACCTCGCTTGCTCGATCTGTACGGGAAAATATCAGACCTCGGTCTTTTACGTACAGACCTCGCTGCGCTAGGTCCGTACTGTCAAGACCTCGGTCTGATATTTTCCCGTACAGACCTCGCGCTCGGTTAATAACCTCTTAATATTATAGATTACAATTTTTAGTTATTTTTTATATTATATATATATACATAGTTGTATTATAGATGTAAATAGTTTTTAAAAACCAATATTTTGGAAAACTACTAAAATTTATTATTATTACCCTGCCAGTTGTCCAAGGTTAAATGGACTATGACATTATTTATGCATTATTTGGCACTACAATTGCAATCGGGCAGATGTCAGCCATATAACTTATTTACTAATGGTGCAGGAGATCACTAGGATCTTATTGTGACATTCATATTTATTTATACACTGAAGATCTGTCAGTTTTTTGTTGTCACATGACAATTTCTTTCACGACAAACAAAACAACACCATTAAGGGACCGAAGTGCCTATGGCAAACCGTCCTAAAAAGACTAGCAAGCATATCGTTCCTATTTTTTTATATGCTTAAAATGAACTTAAGTAGCCTTCCAAGTCGACTAGGCCGGATTTTTAAGTGTTCCACTGAGGAAGAAACCCTTGTATGACATGTAACCAAAGCTATCAACGCCTTATTGGAGACCTTCTGGAGAAAACCGTATGGTGTAATAATAAGTAATAATAATATAAGTTTTTAGGACGCAATTATAAAATCTCATTGCGTTAAAACAGGGAACTGTGGAGTACCTGTTTTGAAAATTGAGAGGGAAACTGCTGGAGTAGTGGTGTTAAATGCCTGCCGGCAAAGCGTAGCAAGATATTCTTCATTTCATAAAAAAAGGCAGCACCCAAAATTGAATTATCGCAGTTCATCCGAGAGAAGGAAATGATTAAAAAGATATGCAGCTGTACACCAAATACAATTTTAATACTTCAATATTTATTGCCTGAATTTAAACACCATTTTATGCCTACTTACATCCTAGCATTCGATCAGAACACTACGAGTGTTCTTATCTATTGAATATGAATATGATAAATGTGTATCGGAAGCGGTACTCTGATACGGCATGGAAATATTGCCAATAAAAGTGTTTGGTTACTGTTTCACAGTGACTATGCCAGTTCCATACAGAAAACCATGTAACTTAGAACTTGACTTTTAATTTGTAAAGCAGCAAACGTGGACGTTAAAAGCAACAATGCATTTCGGTCTTCGAATGTATCGCGGTACTCAGTTTTTTCTTTACTTCAGTGATAGTCTTAAACCCTTTTTTAAATCACTGTTTCGACTATCAGTACTTTTTACGTTTGTGCTTTGAAGAGGTTATACATAGGCTTTTATACGAAACGTTTACAAAAAATATAATTTCATTATTCAAATTGAGCAGCAGACCATTGGAGAATGGGTTGAACTCGGATAGTAAAGTTATTGCAATACATGTGAAATAATATTTCCATCTAATTTTACTTCAAAGCCTGACAAAAGATGGGAATGACAATGACAACATAAAGAATAAAACGCGATTTTTAAATTCTCGCATTGCCATTGATTAAAAAATGGACGGGGGTTCAGAAACAGATAATTATTTCATATTCGTGCTCATTATAAATTAAAGTTTTAATTAAACTAAATTCCATATTTAAGCAAAGAAGACGCAGTCTTGGTCTAAGCAGTTAGAACAGTCAGAACAGCAACTAGCACAGTGAATTCCAAAATATGGCGTCAAAAACGTTCCTTTTCACAGTTCTCGTTTTCGCGATTGTTCTTGGGAACGTTTCTTATACTGCTGCAATTCGAGCAACAGGCATACACACACAGAATGTTGGCAAACGAAGGATAAATGAGGTAAGACATGGATCAATTGATCATGATAAGTCTTAAAGTTTCCTACCCCGCCTTCTCGACGTGTCCCAGATCTACTTCAAAAACTCACACGTAATTAACGAGTTATTAGGCCAATAGAATGAGCCTATATTTGGTCACTTGATGAAGCTTGATATCTGATTAAACACCCCTTATTAGTATTCTTTGTATAAAGAATACTAATAAGAGTGACCTTTATCAGATGTAAAGGTGCATGACCCTGGCAAAGGTCTCAGGTTTGATACCTGATCATTGACCAATGCAGGATGTCAACCGATTACAGTAAACAGCCAACAGCGCTTCTATCTTACTTTATACATTCAATATTTCATTGAGACCATTCATTTTCAAGCACTTGTCTAATAGTTTCCGTTTTGATTTTTAGAATCAGCTCTGGAGAGCCGCATTTGCCGACCAAGAAAGAGACGAGGTCTGTGACATGGCCAGTCAAATGGGATGTTCAGGAAGCAAGAGAGGACGCTAGAAATAGTTGCCCGCCAAATGATACTATGGCTATTACCTCAACTTGCATAGTGAACGTTTCGGCAAGATGAATTATTTTAAACGACAGTGTTTATATCTAAGCCATGATAAAAAAATGAAACAAAGCAATATTAAAAGGAATTAAAAACATGTTCACAATTTCAAAGATGCATTGATAGAGGCAGAGAGACCACCTTATTGATTCAGTTGTGTAAAAAGATTTATTATATATAACGAGACTTTCATAGAGTAAATGGCATAAATAGAAATCTGTATGCTATATTTTCACATGTGAAAAATAGCGATACTTCCAATCAGAAGCGCGTATAGCATTTTTCACATGTGAAAAATAACCAATCACAACACAGAAAAATCGTAATCAGCCAATCAGAAAGCGACGTTCACAACACTGAAATGGCTTCTCTCACATACCGCGAGTTGATGGCAAAATGGCTGAAGGTGAACTGCGTTTGTTGATCAAAAGTCCACATTTGAAGAGTATATTAGTGGAAAGGAAGTCAAACAAACTAAAGCAAAGTAAGAAGACATGTTTTTAATTCAAGTTTTTTTGCCATCCAGAATGAACATGAAAGCATGGAAAACATCAGCCAAAACTATAAACTTAAACGAACAGAAGTTTGTCTCGTTTACTCGTATGTCGGGTGTACACCATTACCCATTACGTCATTATTAAGTGTTTTCTACCTTTTATGGCCTTGCTATATTTGAAGTCTTCTAGTTCGCGTTATTTCCTCTTTTTAAATACCCATGTATATCATTGCATTTTTGTTTTGCTAGTATTATCGTTTAAGGCCCTTTTATGTTTAGTATGCCCTCGTAGGCCTTGTATAAGTTTTAGGTCCGCGTAGCGTGGCCAATTTTCTGGTTTAGGGTATGAACTTTTAGGACATGGGCGTGGTAAAGTCTCTATGTTATTTCTGGTTGCAGGAGGCCCGTGAGCGTGGCGAGCCCTTATAGTTCCTTCTGCTTGAGTTCAATGAATCGTGTTATAAATTTTTGTTTAGTTTACGTGACCGTGGCAAAATGGTTCATTGTGCAGTTCATGTGAGTATGGACTCGTGACCGTGGCAAAATGTTTGATTGTGGAGTTCATTTGAGTATGGGCCCGTGACCGTGGCAAAGGTATTTCATCATTTAGTTCATTTAAGTATAGTCCCGTGGACTGCTTTTGAAATATCGAAACACACCCTTTGAAGATACAGGTGTGTCACCTGTACAACTGTTGATGAGCCGCTGGACCCGCACTACCCTACCAACTCACAGAAGTCTTCTGTTACCATATCCAGTAGAACTATAGGACAGGTTGTCAAAGCACTCAAGACGATAACAGAGAAAAAGACCTACCCCTTTAGAGGCAGGAGACAAAGTTCTCTCAAATGGAGAAAAGCTGTGGAGAAACGCCGAGGTATAAACAAGGTCATACATGATCCAAGATGAGAGAGGGCGTGTCTATCGAAGAAATCGACGGCAGATAATTTCAGTATCCATGGAACAACCGATGGTTCAGTCACAGCCACCTCCGATGATTCCCAAGTCGCAGACACCTCCTAAAGGGAATGACAGTCCACAGTTACAACCAACAACAATGACCCACAATAGTTCAAATGAACCAAAGACTACAACGAAGAATCAACCTTTGGATGGAGTGGTGACCAYACGATCAGGCAGACAGATCAGAAAACGTGATAGACTCATTGAATCTCTTCAATACACCTTTTGCTGTTCATTAACCGCGAAGGAACTTTCAATCAAGCGAAACTGCATTGTCTTTAGCGCGAACGAACGTTCATTAACGCTTAGGGAGTTTCAAGAGCGTGAAGGGAGAATCATTAACATATTTAGCATAGATATGGACAATCATGCATAACTGGGCGAAGATTCATTAACGTTTTCAAACCTTCATTAGCCCATTATGTGCATTCAATAAACTACAACAAACATACAATACTAAATATAATAAACATGTTCATAACATTTGTTTGCGTGCCAACAAAAGATGTGTTTACAACTTGAAATAATAGTACTAGATAATTAGTCTCTTCTATATTGCTACTGGATCTCCGCTATTAGATTTTCCCTAAATTTTATATTACATCAGAATTGCAATCTAGTGCAATCTAGCATACTAGTGGTGCAGTGGACCATTGGGCGCTTATACATTTACACTTATTTATACATTTATTAGGATCTGTCAGTTTTTTGTTGTTGCACTACAAATTCCTTCTAGAGATCAACAAAACAACAACATTAAGGGACTGAAGGGTCGAAGTTAAACAGCCTTCCAGGTCTAGACCGGATTTTCAAGTGTTCCACTGAGGAAGGGTAGTACGCCTATCATTAATTTAGGACTTCAGTCATCTTGATATAACTTATTACTAATTGTAATAAATCGTTTGTCCATTCAAACATAATTTATATTGGCACCGGGAGAAACATCTAAAATCATAATTAATTCCTTGCAAGGGGCCATTGTAACAATTAACCTACGGAGCGTTTTGTATTGACATGGAATCAAAGCTATCAACGGCTTATTAGAAACCTTCTGCTGGAGAAAACTGTATGGTGTAACAGGGAATGTGGAGTACCTGCTTTGAAAATTGACAGGGAAACTGCTGGACTGGTAGTGTTAAATGCTTGCTGGCAAAGAGTAGCAAGATATACTTCATTTCATAAAAATGGCAGCACCCAAATTGAATTATCGCAGTTCATCCGAGAGAAGGAAATGATTAAAAAGATATGCAGCTGTACACCAAATACAATTTTAATACTTCAATGCCTCCTTACATCCTAGCATCCGAACAGAACACTATGAGTTTTCTTATCTATTGAATATGAATATGATAAATGTGTATCAGAAGTGGTACTGTGATACGGCATGGAAATATTGCCAATAAAAGTGTTTGGTTACTGTTTCACAGTGACTATGCTAGTTCCATACAGAAAACCATGTAATTTAGAACTTGACTTTAAGTTTGTAAAGCAGCAAACGTGGACGTTAAAAGCAACAATGCATTTCGGTCTTCGAATGTATCACGGTACTTAAGTTTTTTTCTTTACTTCAGTGAAGGCCTTGGTCTTAAACCCTTTCTTAAATAGCTGTTTTGACTATCACTACTATCTACGTTTGTGCTTTGAAGAAGTTATACATAGGCTTTTATACGAAACGTTTACAAAAAATATAATTTCATTATTCAAATTGAGCAGCAGACCATTGGAGAATGGGTTGAACTCGGATAGTAAAGTTATTGCAATACACGTGAAATAATATTTCCATCTAATTTTACTTCAAAGCCTGACAAAAGATGGGAATGACAATGACAACATAAAGAATAAAACGCGATTTTTAAACTTTGACAAAAGTACAGAATTAACTCGCATTGCCATTGATTAAAAAATGGACGGGGGTTCAGAAACAGATAATTATTTCATATTCGTGCTCATTATAAATTAAGTTTTAATTAAACTAAATTCCATATTTAAGCAAGGAACGCAGTCTTGGTTTCAGCAGTCGGAATAGCAACTAGCACAGTGAATTCCAAAATATGGCGTCAAAAACATTCCTTTTCACAGTTCTCGTTTTCGCGATTGTTCTTGGGAACGTTTCTTATACTGCTGCAATTCGAGCAACAGGCATACACACACAGAATGTTGGCAAACGAAGGATAAATGAGGTAAGACATGGATCAATTGATCTTGATGAGTTTCCTACCCCGCCTTCTCGACGTGTCCCAGACCTCTCTAAAAGCTACAATCTTAGCCGAAATCGTTGGAAACTTTTCGCATTAAAGAAATCTTTCACTTCTTAACTCATCTGCCACTCTCAGTGCTGCTTGATGCTTGCAAGTTAGCACATGTTAGCATGCATTTGAAACCGTAGATAACATACACATCAGTACTGCAGCAACCTATTCTTACGTTGTATCATATAATCGTTCCAACTTATTTTAGAAACTTTTATTGAAGCTATGTTTGTGTTGTTGAAGTTCTTTTTCTAAGAATTTTAAATACGTGATTTGTTTAACTTGAATTTACAAACTTTCAGTGTGCAGTGTTTGTTTCTATAAAATGAGGTTTGTGCTGTTTTGCAATTAACTGGTTATTATGACCAATTCATAGTAGTTAAACCAATGAATTCACTTAAGTCAAATTGACGAAATAATAAAATAATAACAATCTTTTATTAGGAAAAAACTATCACATAAGTGTGGTTTTCATAGAATTCCTAAAAAAGTTAAACTAATATTTACATGGAATTAAGATAAAAATATAAATAATTATATCAATATAAAACTATGGCTAACTTTAAAAATAAATAAATAATATAATAAAAAATAAATAAATTGCATATAATATAAAAACTAAGAAAAGGTGGTAAAAAAATGAGAGCGTAACTTTGATTTAAAAATGCTTAAAGATGGCGAATCTCTGATAGATAAATCTAAATTATTCCAATCATTAATGGCTTGGAAGCATGTCCGTTGTTTACCCCAGTTTCTTTTTACTTTCGGTAATCTTAAACTATTTTTAGTACGTGTATTATATGAATGGGTTTCACTGTTTTTTACAATTTTTAAATAATGCTTCAAATTATTAACACATTTGTAAATATATATGCAGCGGTGGTAAAATCTGCGTTTCCCTAAACTCAACCATTTCAGTGATGAGAGTGCATCCGTTGCTGAAGAATAAAAAGGTCTATCTAGGATAATCTTAGCTGCCTTATTTTGGAGTATCAAATAAGTCAAATCAAATAAGTGATTATTATAGCCAAATTAAAAAGGGAAGCTTCAACCATCAGCAATTGTTATTGAATGTTATTCATGCCCAGCGAAAATACAAGGCGAGGTTCCTATAGTATCCTGTGTTGTCTGTCCATCACTGAGTCCATTCTGTTTTCCTAACACGAAAAATTTACGCAACAATTTTTTTTCATTTTGATGCTATACTGACTAGAAGTGGAATTTTGAACACTCCAGTTTCTAATTCATAACGAAAGATCGCTGCTTTATTTAACAACACATTCTCTTGCGTAAAGACCTAACCAAACACAAAAGACAGCACGAGAAAATATCGTTATTACAATAGACATGAAAATTTGCATTTTCCTCGAGTTAAGACTAACTCTGTATTCCCATAAGACTTATTTGACTTCTGGGAATACAGGGTTAGCATCAACTTGGGGAAAATGTAAAGTGTTTAGAGCTATTGTATTAACAACATTTTTTCGTGCTTTCTTTTGTGTTTGGTAAGGTCCGTTGCGTAATAGAACGTGCTGTCAAGTAAAACAGCGGTTATTCGCTTTGAATTCGAAAATTAGAGTATTATATTCTGTCATTCGTATAATGAATAATGTTGCTACGACAATTTAAATTTGAATTTTTCATATCTCAATCACATTAAATTTGATTCCTTCAAAAAAATTGATATTTTAAACTGAAATCTTTATTAAAATGTCTTTCAAATATATTTAGCACATATGTTTCAAATAACAAAGAGTAGTATAAATTTCATAGAAAAGGTCTTTTAATAGTTTCAAATGTCCTTAATCACCAAATGTAAAATTTGTAATCATGTATGTAGCATAACCCTCCCTTTTAATCATAATGGTTTTAGAGCGATACTAATAATAATGCAAGGTACATCCTATGTCCTTGTTTGCCTTTATTTTGCTCTTTAACCTCTCAAAAAAAAGTGCCGTTGTACTAATAATTTTGCTCGCAGTGTAGGTTTACATAATGTTCGACTGTTTCTTGAAGTGGATGTGTCCGTAGAACATTCATTCATTTTCAAGTACTTGTCTAATAGTTTCCGTTTTGATTTTTAGAATCAGCTCTGGAGAGCCGCATTTGCCGACCAAGAAAGAGACGAGGTCTGTGACATGGCCAGTCAAATGGGATGTTCAGGAAGCAAGAGAGGACGCTAGAAATAGTTGCCCGCCAAATGATGCTATGCCTAATTACCTCAACTTGCATAGTGAACGTTTCGGCAAGATGAGTTATTTTAAAAGACAGTGTATAGCTAACCCATGATAAAAATAAAACGAAACAATATTAAAAGAAAATAAAAACGCTCACACATTTTCATAGATGCATTAATAGAGGCGGAAAGATAAAAAAAAACTGTCCAGAAAAATTTTAGTATATGCACGCTTCATTGGGAATAAGAAACGGTCAGGATCTATACCTAGGCAATATCTCTCGTGCACGCACAACCACGTAGAAACCAATTGTGATAATTCCTCTGTACGATAACTGTGTTTTTCACTTGTTCGACCAATTTTATTATGTTTTTAAGTGGTGGATTAGTGCAACCTCGTTCTCAGAGTCTTTTCCCTTCAGTTTAAGGCTGCCCCTGAACAAAAGGACATTTACAACTAAATTGTAATTGATCTACTTTGTCTTTCTATCAATGAAAATCACGACATCGATCCCTTTTGAACAACGAAGCAGAAAAGAATCAATTTGCCAAAATCGCTAAAACTAGCCCTTTCTAAAGTACGTTTTTGTACAAGACATATATAAAAAGTGCATCTCTGCAAAATCGTCGTTTTGTTATAAATGTTTGCAATAAAACTCGCATTCGTATTCTTTACTCCGACGAAGGATTAACGTCCGAAACGTCATCAGTAAGTTGTTTCACCTACATTTTTACAGTGTTAAATGTATCTTTTTGCACAACTGTTTCTTTAGAAACACCGACGCAGCTCACACTAGTTTACCGATAGTTTCCACCATTTTTTCTAGGCCTGTCCAGAGGGGTATTGGTCGCCTTCCTAGCAGTCGCGTTGAATGGCATTGTTATTACTGCTCTGCATCGTATTCAATAACAATTTATTAACTGCTTTTAAAATTGCAATTTCTTCGGTTCCTGAAGGAGGTTTTGTTTCACAGCTGTATACCGTCAATTGAAGAAAAGCGGGACCGCCAAAACAAACACATCAATTTATAGCCAAGGCTAGCCGATACATAGAAATGAAGCTTTTAATCTATATCACTGTAAATTATGTTTGAATTAGCCCACGGGAATTTGGCCTATAAATGGTAAAGTGACAAGTAGTTTGATCGATTTGTAATTATATCTGGTTCGAAATGAACCGATTGAGTTACCAATAATGCTCCTGATATATATGAGTTACGTTAACTTCCAAAAATTCCAAAAATTAATTGTGTGAATATAGGCGTACATAACATGACATGCATAGTTTTAGCATGGAGTTAGTAATATTGAGAAGAAAATATTTCGTTATGCTTTTACTATACTCTTGTAGGATAAAATAACAAAGATGATGATTATAATAATGTGAACGTGAGTAATAAAGCTGTGAAATAAATATACTTTCACAATATTGACGGCATAATGTTAACATATGCAATCAAAATTATCCCTGAAATAAAAGTATATGCTTTACTTTAACGCCCTGTAAAAACCAAGTAAGCTCGAATTCAAATACCTAGAGATGTCTCAAATCTACTTATTCCAAGAAGAAATGTATGGTTGGGAGTAAGTTTTGAAGATCAAGAGTGCTAGATTTTTTACACAGATCGCTAAAATATACAAATCATTTTGCCTTAGGGTGAAACATAATTCTTCCCGCCATTTTGCGGAAACGTATATTAGTAACTATATGTCATGTACAAATAAGCAGAGCTTTTAACTTAATTATTTTAAGCACGAGTTTTGAACACACGTGCTACATTCGCTGGTAGTTCTTGTTAGGGCCTCGTGGCACATAAGACCTCAACATGCGTTATATAAGCAAACCAATTTGYACTTATTTTATTTGAGTTAACGCAGTGCTTTGACAAAACAAAATGGCATTCAAAACCATAATCACTTTGACTCTTGCTTTCGCTATATTTTTTGAAACTGCCTCGGCTGGATTGCTGAGTGTGTTAGACCATGTTCGACAAACCAGAAGCAATCAAAAACCGAAGAACAGGGTAAGTTTATAACAGAATTATATTTACATGTACTGGTGTTCATTCTGAGAAGCATCGTGTTTTTCTTAAACATGTTAAATAGGTTATCTATTTTGTAAGGAAGCACGACACGGCGAAATAGTTACCGTAACTTTATAAAGGTGCGGCGTACCTTCTTTCGGGTGTTTTTGAGCCTAACAATAGCTAATTCAGTCACCACTTTGAATGTTTAAATATATATTCGCTGACCGTGTGTAGCGGCTTCGCTGGAATGCCCTGGCTTATCCCGTATTCCAGTTAGTAAGGCGCGCTTATTTGTTTTGTTGATTTTCGATAAACATCTCTCAGTCAGTCATGTAAAGCTTTGCACGAAAATCTGATTTCAGATTCAAACAACATTGTTCACCAAAAATGACATTCCTAACTGCTACGTATCTTGATATAATCAGTTTTTGGACGTGGAAAGTCCTCTCGTGGAAAGTCCAAATAAAAGTTTTAACATACCTTGAAATTAGACACATCTGATATTCTAGACAAGTTTTACAAGAACGGAAAGTGAACATCTTGTATAAGTAAGATGGACAACAGATCGGCTGTATGGAAAGACTGTACCTCGACTTCGAACTATAACATTACCAAAAAAAAAACTCCTTCACTCCTTCCTGCTTCTCAAAAGTCCCAAACCACAGCGCAAATACCTACGGCAAAAGTTTTGATTATTTTCGTTTGTACTCAAAGTTTTTTGGGTCGGTGTCGCAGTGTTTAAGCGCTTTGCCTTTGCGTCGTTTGAGTGTCATGAACTTACCTGCTAACATAGATCAATATTTCGGATTTCTTAAATAATTGGTATATATAACACGCGCTGTGACTGGCCAAAAAGCGTGTTTTATGAGAGTATCAAGCACACTCGCGCAATCGTTGCTTTGTGGATTGTACTTTCATTGTGAATTAACATTTTCAAACAAGCAAATAAACTAATTGGATTGTTAAATAGATATTTGTGTACTCACTTTATTTTCTGTTTGGGTTAAAAATTTACCTACAGTATTCATCAATCAAAACTGCCAGTCACATTGCAAGATCTAGTATTATAACCTAAGCTTCAAGTATTCTTTCCTTTAGAAATCGTACATCCATGTAACAGAAATAACCGTTAGAGTAGGCAACAAAAGGCCACAGAAAATACTCAATCTCTGATATTTCTGAAGGATGCTTCGCGTCGTGGTTTCTTACGGGTTCTCTCGTTCTCCATAAATCCCGCGTGCTTTTATCATAGTATCAAACACGAAATCTGTTTTTATTCCTTTGGTATAATATAACTTTCGCACTTAACTAAAGCATATTAAAACAACTTTTTGATTTTAATGAAATGTTTTAGTGTTTGAATTCCAGCCACCATATATATTGATATATTCATTAACGGATATCACTTTCTGTCTTTGTTTACAGACATACAAAATGAAACAGACAAAGAGGAGCGATACGCAAGACGCAAAGAGCTTACATGAACTCTGTGGACTTTGCGAGCAAGGATATGTACTTAACTGATCCGTTACAGTATTGATTATAACAAAATAAAAAAATCCGTATACAAATATCCTTGTTTACTCTCTTCTCCTTCATTATGAGGTCGTCTATAAGAGCGGGAACATTCAATGAGGATTAAACGCACTGCATGTGAATATGTATAAAAATGAGACAAGGAGACCAAAGGTTATTCTATTGTATAGCCATGAATGCGAGGCATCTAAATTGGTGTTGTGCCATGTTACGGTTAGAATAAGCTTTGTTCTCGAGGTAATTTGGGAAATTGCAGTGACCGTTTTTTGCAAATTTGTTTTGCAATTTTTTTTTTTCAAATTTGGTGACTGGACTACGAGCTGATAGGCCATAAGCCCGAAAGTATTATCATACTAATTGGAACAATGAATGAAATATATAATAAAAAATGTTTCTATTGCTAAAAATTAGCACTTTAGGATTTAATTAAATTTGTATAAAACTCGGACGTCGTTTCACACACTTGTCATGCTTGACAAAGGAAAATCAATTCACTACACGCTCGTGAAATCCTGTTTGAGTGAAAAAACACAAAATGGTCCTTCACACATCGATTTGACCCACACTATTTCTTAGAAGATAAATGCTGGCACCTTTCAACAGTCGAGGACTATTGAAAATCGACTCCAGGTAGCGTAGTCAATTAGAATTGTGGGATTTGCAATAGTTCACTTGTATGGTAATACCTGGGCTGCCTGTGTATTAAGTCATAAGCGTACACAACCAACTTTGCACGGAGATTCTACCGTCCAAGTAAATGCTACAAGGATGGGCGTTAAGACTTTCTAAGAATACAGGACGTACCGATGAAAGCAAACGCTAATACATCGATAAAAAATTCAAAATCGGACAACAGACAGGCTACAAAGCTGATTCAGTGCCTTCCATAGGCTTTACAGGAACATCGAGGGACCCCATTCACCTTATTGCATTTGCTAATGTATAGCAGACATTTTGTGATTATATTAATCAATATGTTGTCAGCGTCTATAGATAAATGTCAGTGTGAAATGTTTTATATACCTTAATAAACTTTTTGATATATAACGCGCGCTCTGATTGGCTGACCACCGTGTTTATGTCAGAGGACAGAGACACGGCTTACCGGAAAAATTTGTTTTCGCAAAAATGAAGGATTTTTTCTCAAACATTTCAGACGAATTTTTAAAAGAATTTCTTCTCTTCGATATTGATCTAAACCTTGACACTACGGCTCAAAACAATGTAAACAACGAAAACAAAGAAGCAGAAAATCATTCAAACCCTCGAAAAAAGATTTGCTCAACTATATGAGGTCGGCCTCGACGAAATCGTTTAACTATAGGTTTTTACTCGCTACGCTCGTGTTCCTAAGCTTGCTTCTCTCGTGATTTTCAACTCCCACCGTGTTTATATCAGAGGACAAAGACACGCGCGCCGTTTTATATTTCTTAAATTTCAAATTCATTTATAATTCATAAGGTAAGCACAATRTCCTAATTTGCATACGAAGTTGATAAGCAATATAAAATATTCACGTCAGACCATAGTTTATGGGCTTTACAACCTTTAAATGCCCTAGGTACATGATTACATCGGTTTTCTTTGTTATTCATAATTCTTTGTTCAACTTAAATACCGTTACACAATGGAGTAACTAAAAGTCTTGAGACGGATTTGATAAGTTTAGGGAAAGACGGGGTTTGTTAGTTGAAATACAAATCGAACAAGTATGTAACAACGCCATGTTGTATTTATCAGCATGGGCGTGTAGTCTGTTCTTATCAACTGGCTGGCCCTAGATTAATTGTCAGGGTTACTTGGACGAAAATTGCAAAACATTAGAAAAGACTTGGAAATCAAATAGACATACCATACGGATCCATACGGATCTAATAATTATGAAGCAACAACTTTCAAGAAGATATTGATACAGCTCGTTAATAATTTGGGCAAAAAATGTCGGARTAAATGTCGTCATTAACTCCATCCTTTTGTTTTCCATCTTTTGAATCAAAATTTCTCTAATGTGGGATAGTTCCAAAACAAATATTTTCCCGCAATTGTTTCTAATAGATATAGAGTCATATATTTGTATTGCTTGAAGTTTTGAAATAGGGCCATTTTCATGCAAGTAGCACTTTCATCTGCCGCGGACATACTCATATGCCACGGAACTCGAATGGTTTAGAGTGATGATATAAAAAACATCAATTTGCCGAGCGGAATCTTCACAAATCTTTGGAGGATTACTCTGTTGGAGTATTTATKTTAGGACACTCTTTCAGGTAGTAAATCACTTAGTAAATCTAGTAGTAAATGTACGACTTCGACCGGTTACCGCATCATGTATGAGCAACAACAAAACCGAGGATGAACGAAAGAAAGGGAGAATAACTCATAACTTTCGTAACAAAGCTCGCTTTCTACAACGTGGTATTAGTACAGCCAGTGCAAATTGTGAAGCTCGCATTTACTTGCTCATGAAAATATACAAAACCAAAACAGGCAGATCTATCAAGCACTCGTCCTACGTCAGCTTTATTGAAGATTTGCCTGACGAACACATATTGACTAACTGTGTAAATATTTTATGTATAGTTTAAAACACGAKMKMGAGTGTTTTAAACGGCTTAAAAAACTCCAACACTAATTTGAAACTCAAATCCGTTAAAATTCTTGGAGAAATTGCCGTACAAATATGTTCAGAGATAAATGGGGCAAACTGATCATGCGCAAATCACTTTACAAAGCACTCTTGTCATCCCACATTGAATACGCATAAAGTAAAATAGAACCGCTCTTGGATGTTCACTGAAATCGGTTGACATCCTGCATTGGTCAATGATCAGGTTTCAAACCTGAGACCTTTGCTAGGGTCATGGACCTTTATATCTGATAAAGGTCACCCTTATTAGTATTCTTTATATATAAAGAATACTAATAAGGAGTGTTTTATCAGATATAAAGGTCCATGCATGTGACCAAATAGGCTCATTCTATTGGCCTAGTAGTTCATTAATTATGTATGAGTTTTTTAAATATAGATTATAGTTTGTAGGCGTCGTAATCCAATTTACAAGGAATTATTCTATCATATCAGAAACAGTGAAAGAAACATCTACCTAAAAAAACAATTTGGTGGATTGATTCGTTAGTCTGAAACATTGAGCATGCAATGATAAAAAGATTTCCAAAGATTAAACAAAATCATTTCTTTTGCTGAAAGCGAATTATTTCTTTTGTGATTTACAGTTAAACTGCCATTGATATAGAACAACAATTGATATTAAGATGTTTTGAACGAGTGAGGAATTCACGCCTATATTCATTTCAACGTGTGAAATCTTTGAAAATCGATGTATGTAAAAGGATTAAGGGATTGCCAGTACGCGACAAAGTGAAAAACTATCAAGAAGATAATGTTCGTTCAACGTATGAAAGATTAGCGTTTGAATGAGTTAAAAGTATGGCTTATTCCACAATATATTACTTTCAATGTAGTTTCAAATTCAGAAAACACATCATAGATGATCTTTTTACAGTCTTATGATACCTATAATGTAAACTATTTTAAAACATCCTGGCTTAAAGGGCTCATAAGAGATGGATAATATATATGAATAATATATGGAAAGAATATCTTTAGGTTACACGTTCATTCTAGGTAATATACAATCGATCAGGCATACGTTTACCATTCCATCAAAACCACTCTTTCAAATTCCCAAACAAGAAAAACTACCTGTTGAAGCCTCCGAAATTGAACTTATCTCTAAATCGTAGTCATGCATACGTCTCATTTTCTATAAGTTTTCTTTGCAGTTTTCTTGCTCCTTAGTCATCACAACCAGAAAATCTCTAATAGGTACTAGAATTTAACCTTACAAAAAGACAACTAGAACAGTACATAGGAGGACGTTCAGTATACGATTTCGACAGCAAAGTACGCGTTTCTAATCCATGATAAGCACACTACGCTGGCTGCCGGATCCACAACTCCTCTCTTGAATAGTTAATGCCATTTCTATGAAAGGACAGTGTGGGATAATGCAAAAGTATCTTCGTGGGACTCATTACCGTGTGAGTGGATCAACCATCTGCTAAGAGAAATATTACGATAAACTTCCTCTTCTGTGTGCCATAAAAGAGAATCAAATGAAACAGTAGTACATTCAGTGCAGACTAGTAGCGATATGAACTATCCACAGCTCTTTTTATGCGTTCTAATAGTAGTCTCTATCATTCCAAATGTAACCACTAGTAGTGCTCCTTGTCTAGGATGCCAAGTACTACCATGCTACTGCAGAAAACGTTTAATGTTACTAAAGGTGAGCTTATCAAGGAAATGATAACATAACTCTATATCACAGCCTTTGAAACTTGTTATGCATCATTTTAAAGCTAGACCAGCTAAACTAATAGTAAATAAGTAAGTAACTAAAATCAACGATCATGAGCCGAGAAACAACTTTAAGTTAAAACTCAAAGATTAAATAGTATAAWCTTTTCATTCACACACACAAAAAAAAAAACACACAAAAAACCTTAAAACCGTGCAGATGATGAACGAAACAAAAAAGGCTTTAGCTATTATCTTTCCTCAACTCATACAGAATCATTATGGATTCTCTCTTTGACCATCATAGTATTATTTATAAAATCATAAAATCTTTGAGGACCATCATTTGTTTTCTTAACGGCATAACGCTTTAGACAACCGCGACGAGTTTTTGATACTAAATCTAAAACAGAGAGAGCAAAAAAAAAAAAAAAAAAGGTAAAAAAAAAAAAAAAAAAAAGGTTCTTCACCTTCCAATGCAACTCACCTTATTTTTCTACAATGCTTGGTCTTTTCATCAATATCTTGCGGGAAAAAGTTATATCTCAGTGCCAGAAATTTGAGAGAAACTAAATATATGCGACTTGACCGTAGAAAGTCAAGATACGTACACTCAAAAATTCAAGTTAGGTCCTGAGCATGATTTATATTGCCATATTTCTATTCAAATTAAAGAGTCATTATTTACCGGCATCCCTTACGACATTCTCTTCATGTTTAGTGCAAAAACTCGTTTACTCGACTCGTATCAATGCAGTAACAACCAAGTTATCAAAGAACATATCGCGAGGTATTTTTAAACGTAAGGAATCTTCCCTCTATGTCTAGGGCTAAGGTTCAGCCCCTACTTTTGACTTTTAAAAAAGCCGCTTCAAATAAAATTTAACAGATAATCCTCCAAATAATTAACATCTGATCTTCTTTCCAAATAGAGCAGCAGATAGGAATTGCTTCTTGAAATAGAAATACTCGCTACTTTTCTTTACATCCGAAATGGCCTCAACATTGTGCAAGGTCCGTGCATCTAGATGTCTATGTTCCAAATACATGATTTGAAAACAGAAAATGATCGTGGTATTTCAGCGAGTAATTAAACGTATGTCCAAAACACTTTCGTCTTGTCTTGACTTGTCAATATATAGTGCGTCATACGAAATCCGCTCTACTAACTACATGCTTGAATGACAAGTAAACATATCATTCTTTACAACAATGCAGCATTTTTAATCATGCTAAATCAATTTGCGACATATTATCATATCACTTGATTGTATTTCCCTTCTTCCATACAGAGGTTGCAAAATGAAGAAAATGTGGACGACGTTTGTGCCGTGGCAAGAAGTTTGAAATGTGTACTTAAACCGTCAGRTGACTTAATTAACAAGCGATTTGGTCATCACTTGGGTCAATGATTATGATCAAAGAAACGATGCTGATTCTTATGATAATGAAAACAACACTTTAGTAATTACGATACAAACTTGGGTTTGCTTGATATACAACTATAATGGAAACAGGTTCACAAATTCTCAATTAAATAAATGATAAAAGTGGATTTTTATGGGAAAATACACCATTAGTGTGAATATTTTCACTAATAAAACACAGATTAGCTTGTGGCCTAATTATACCGTTGTCAAGTATTTAATGGGAACATCCCAGTGTCAATAAAGTTCATTAGAAAATAACGATGCTTCCTACGCTCTTATTTTTCTATTAATTCATGGACATGTTTCCGCATTTATCTATCAAAACTCTTAATTTGGATCACTGCAGATTATTTACCAGATCTTTAACTTTCATTTAGGTTATTTATTGCAGAGCTCCCGCGCGGGCGGAGCACGATCGCTAAGAAAAAATATTAAAGCATCGAGTCCATTTTTTTATGGACCGACACAGGGTTCTCGCGCGTACGCACGTTTCCTTTTCTTTCGTCTGAATAAAATTAAAGGCGCTCAACGAGAGCATGTGCCTACTACGATTGTTTGCAAATTGTAAATATAAGTGAAAGCGGATACATAGCGGTTTTAGTAAATCTATGGAACACAAATATTTAGACTCATTCAGCGTTTATTTTGCCACTGTTGAGGCGAGATAACACAATAAAAAAAGTGCAGAATATCGATATGTATTTTATTGTGTTTTTTTTTTATTGCTAATAACAATACAAAGCACTTTTTATTGGATACAAAGTAATAAAGTCCGAACAATATCTCCATGAAATAAAATCTAAATAATAGTTTAGTTTAGTTTACGGCGATACCACTTAGAGTAGTTGTTTCGTAGGAAACTCTCTTGAATTCGGATGACTACAGCTTATTTACCAGAGGAACGATAAGCTGATATATCAGCGATTTTCCGCGCCCCGTCGGTAACGAAACAAACGTCTCTCCTCCACAAATAAATGCTGAGATTCTTTCCTCTCGATGAGAGGATAATTTCAAAGTCTTTTGAAGATTTAATAGTGTTTAATGATAGACGCCATATATTATGTTTGTGGGCTCAGTTTTGGTCACCGGATCAATGCATTTATTTAGAAGCGCGCAGAAAAAACAGTTTGACTGAGGGAAAACCGGTCTTGACTAGCCCCAACTCTTGGGCTATCGGCAAATCAAAGAAATTACGAGGTTTCGGCAGAGTGTTATTTCCTTCGCGAATTTTTTTAGTGAGGTGCGGGATTGTAGAATTTACACACTTCTTCTTTGTGTCTATTGTGTATAATTATGCATCTTTTTTTTTTTGTCTATTCAGTGTATAATTATACACAATAGACATAATGAGAAAGYGTATATTCTGCATCAACTTTATATACACAATGCCAAGCAGCTGGAGAGCAAGACTAGAATACGGGAGAGTCAAAGGAGGATGGTAAAGAAGCGCGTAGAAGAAGCAAGAGAACTGATAGAGACAGCGAGGAATGATAATACGCAACAACTCAAACTCGCGCAAACAAAGAAGACTCTCGAAGAGAACATCCACTCGTTGAAAGAGGTTGATGATGAAATACTGGTGCTAATGAGTGAAACAACCAGTGATGACGATCTAGACAGGGAACTAGAGACTTCAAGCAATATACGAGTTGAATTACAAGGACTTTTGATCGAGTTGGAACAGCTTACTGCTTGTGTAAACAGAAAGGGCGCGACGCCCGTGAATGAGCAAAGCTYGAACAACATTGGATCAAGCATTAGAGCCAAACTACCAAGGTTAGAAATTCCGAAGTTCGACGGAAAGCATGAGCATTGGCAGGAGTTCTGGGATGCCTTTGAGAGCTCGATTGATCGGAACTGTGGACTTTCTAATGTTGACAAATTCAGCTATTTAAGAGGTTTACTTGACGACAACGCGAGGTCAGCGATCGCAGGATTTGCCTTGACTTCGGCAAATTACAGTAGGGATTTCCGATTTAGCGGATTTGGATTAGTATATTCCAAAGCCACCTGGATAATCCGCAAACTGAAGCTTATGCCATTTTCATTTTAACAAATATATTTATATTATTATTANAAAGCTTTGATTTGTCAAGTCAAATTTCTAAAATTATATGCATATTCATCATATTCATTGTTGTTTCAGAAACGACGCCGACAACTCAAGAGACCAAGCTCAAGCATCTACTAGCAAAATAATCGATGAGGATTATTGCTCCAGTGAGGAGGAAAAATCCCAGGATGAAAAAGAAGTCGACGATATTTGTAAAGCTATCAATGAGGGGGAGAATAAATACGCTTTTGACACAGAAGCAGATGGAAATAACAATCCTACAGCAATTTTAGAAAAAGTCAAGAGGAATCATGAAAATGAGAGAGAGGAGGACAGGTAATTCAACAGTTCTTCACAATAATGCCTGTAGTTGTACTCTCAAGTCCTCCCAACGATCTTTTTTGATATTCTTGATAGGAAGAGACAACGAAAAAGAAGTCCTCGTAAACAAAACAAGTCAAAGTCAAGGGACGAGAAATTTGACATGCTGCTCGATGCAATCCCTGGAATTTTGCAAACAGCCAAACTGGCAGCAGAAGAGCACCGAAAAACTCTTATAAGTTGGAGAAGACAACAGGGACTCGAATCGTCGTCAAGCGATGATGATAATTAGCCGTTTGCCTCAAAATGTAGTTACTATTCAACACATTTATTGTTGTACTCCTTTTGTACTTTTTTTCTAGAATAAACTTTGTTATTTCATGTAAAATGATGTTTAATTACTTCATCAAAAACAAAAGTGTATAGTTTTGTTATTTTCTATCATTTGACCAAAGTTAATCGATTAACTATGATTTGTCGTTTAAGTAAATAGAAATATAAAATATATGATGAAATGTGAGTTACCCCATTCACGCCAACAGGACTAGTTTTGAGCTCTAACAGGAAAAAAATAATGATATGTATTGTGTACATAATCCATAATCAGGCCCGTAGCTAGGGGGGAGCACAGGGTGCACGTGCACCCCCCCCATCAGTGCAAAAAAGTCCGCTTTTATCAACGATAAATCTTCTGGCTACGGCCCTGATAATGTTCATATTCCTTATATCCGTACGATATGCCTAATCCACCTATAATCCGCTAAATCGGAAATCTCTAGTGAAGCAGTGGAGGTTCTGAAACAACGCTTCGGTAAAAAGAATGCAATCCAACGTTCCCACGTGAATGGATTGATGTCTCTCACAGCGCTTCAAAGTGAACGGGATACGGTCAAATTAAGGCAAATGTACGACGCCATGGAAGCACATTATCGTGRGTTAAGAGCTTTGGGAGCGCCACCAGAAACCTACCAGAGCATCGTAGTTCCAATGCTTGTGTAGAAACTGCCTATGAGTTTACACCTGACGGTGACAAGAGGTGAGGATTATCTCTCATGGGACATGGAGAAAATGCTCTCAGCATTTCAAAAGGAACTTGTCTTAAGAGAAGAACATAGTTTAAATACCTCGAATAGTAAAAGCCGAGCGACCCCCCAAAGTCAAGCCAGTGGCCAAGGAGGAAACCCGATCACACTTCAGCGAGTGCACTATTTGTGAAGTCAAATCAATGTGCGTTTTGCCTCGGAGATCACAATCACGAAGACTGTAAGAAGGTAACAAAGGTGAAAGAACGAAGGAACATTGCATTTAGATATGCAATGGTTAAGTAAGGGTCAAAGTAAGGGTCATAAAGCCCGAGATTGTAAGAATTTTGTTAGTTGCAAAATATGTAAAAGTGATCATCATGTAGCGATATGTGAGGGGCCGCCGGAAGGAGAGAGCGCGGGAAGTACGAATGTGAGTGCACAATGCGTGTCGACAAGGAACGTAAGAGTTACGAAAACAGTAGATTCTAGTTCTACAGTGCAGGTTACGAGTGTGAATGTCGAGAGGGTAGCGCTACAGACAGCCCTGGGCCTGGTCAAGGGAGAGAGGGAGGGCAAGGTTAGAGTGATGTTTGACTCGGGTAGTCAACGTACCTTTGTGACCTCACGTGTTGTCAACTCCCTAGGGTTAAGGGTGGTAAATAGGGAACGGCTGGGGATCAGCATATTTATGAATAAAGGCCAAACGGAATGGAGGGACATAGTAACCATTCCTGTGTACCCTGTGGGAGGGGGTGAGTGTGTTGTCGTTGAGAGCCTTTGTCGTTTCAGAGATAGCCAGAGTGTACAGGGAGGGGCTTGTGGCGATTAAGGGTGAGTACACACATTTAAAGGATCTTTGGTTATCAGATGTAGGGAAGTTAGAAGATGATGAGATTGGGTTGCTGATTGGCGGCGATTTTTTGTGGCGGTTCCAAACGGGTAAAGTAGTGAGGGGCAAGTCAGACGAGCCGGTAGCAGTCGAAACGTCGATTGGTTGGGTGTTGTCTGGCCCTATGAAGTGTAAGGGGAATTCCAACTCTAGTGACGTCAAGGTGAGTTTTGTAGTCGAGAGAGACAAGGGGAGCGTTCGTTGGGTAGGTTGTGGGACCTAGAAACAATAGGAATTAGAGAAGACGAGGTAAGGGAAAGATTCCTAGATGAGGTAACATTTAATGGTAAACGATACTGTGTGAGGTTACCTTGGAGGGAGGGCCATCCTAATCTACCATCTAACTATGACATTAGCTTGTCTAGGTTACAAGGGACGTTGAAGAAGTTAAGAAAGGAGCCGGCAATACTCGCTGAGTACGAGAAGGTTATTAAGGAACAACTTAAGATGGGGATCATCGAGCCAGTAACAAATCTCGATGTTAACAGTAAGGTACACTTCTTACCACATATGGTAAGCCTATGAGTCGTTTTTTTACGTGTGCTCATGATTAATTACTGCATATTCATCCATTAAATATTCCCAGAACTAAACGTCAGGCAGTCGAATTTTTTTTTAAAAATCGTCAGAACAACAGTAATTTCAATTGATACAGCAAGAGAAATGCAATAAAGACTGAAATAATACTGTTCGTCAATTAAGTTTGTATACACAAGCAGCGGCACTTTGACATTTTCGACTGCCTGACGTTTAGTCCCAGAACTAAACGTCAGTCAGTCAAATTTTTGAAAAAAATACAGACATACCAGAGTTGTGGAAGTGAAATTTTCTAACCCTTTCTGTATCAGACCGTCCCCCTTCAACCATTACTACAACAATTTATCATTGTCCCAGCAGCCTATAATTAGACCATTGTTTCTTCATTTTGAAGGGATAATTATTAGGATATTTTTGATAGGCAGTTCATGAT